AAATCAGATACCTGTGCAATTTAAAAAAAAAAGTCATTAGGATTCAGGGTGTTTGTATTTGCATAGGTGGCCACTCATAGCATGAAAGATGAAAATGGCTCACACTACATACTGTCAATTGCATGTTATACCAATTAACTAAGTTTTAAGTGATCACGGATACAAGTTGGTGCCAAAGATTTAAAAAAAACAAACTACATTTTAAAATGCCCATAAACATGGATTTAAAAATAAATCATAGTATGATAAGTTTAATAGGACAGACCAAGAGAGATTAGGCAAGCAACATGCATTTTTAAAATAATCTTGTGTCAAAATTAAAAATTAAAAGGAAATTTGCAAAAAAAATTACATTTGATGAAATTTTAAAATCCTGATTAAACCCAAATCCAGCAAGTTGAAGACAGAATGCCAAATTCTGCTCAGGTGGATCTATGCAACTCCTCTGAAGAAAACAGGGATACACATGTGAAATAGCAGTTTTTGGCTCAGCACTACATTTTACTTTTACACAGCTTTTTAAAAATATTAGGAACGGGTGCTTCTGTAATGATGGTGATGTAATCTCACTTGGTGTTTCTTAAACTGTGTTCCGCGGCACACTGGCGTGCCGTGAGGCAGTTGGAGGTGTACCGCAGAGAACAACAGAATTCAAAATGGCCACCCTTAAAGGATGTTTTTAAGATGAGGACCACCAAACAATTTTTTTTTATGAGTTTTTTTGGAGGGGTTTTTTTGCTCAGTAACTTTCCCCTGACCCTTCCCCCCGCCCCCAACATTCCTCATTAAAAAAATATTATTGTTTGGCGTTCCTCGGTCTTAAAAAGTTTGATCTAATTTGTTAGCATGAGAATACAAATACATACACCCACTAAAATAAAGTTGCTTCAAAGCTCTGACATCACTTTGAAATAATCCCATATTTTGTATACTCCTCATAATGTGACTGACCTCCCCAAAGATCCACTGGAGACATGGACTTCAAGCAAAAAAGCACCTACAAGACTAATAAAATGTTAGAAAAAAAATCCGTATTTTCCTCAAGATAATTTATTGCTGCTTACTGGTCCTGAGAAAGCTTTAAGCAACAATGCCTTTGCAAGTATTTTATCTACCGCATTTTTTGTTCTTAAGACACATATGGGTCCTGAGATTTAAAAAACAAAAAAACAAAAAACCTATTTCTTCCTATGCACTCCGTGTGGAAAATGGTTTACTGTGAAGATCGAACAAACTTGTTCTGCCACTGAACGTTTGCCAGCATGCTATATTTCTTAGCCTCAGACCAATTTTTGTTTTTTAAACTGCGCTTAGTTTTTCATATTATGGACTTTGCCTTCAGTGGGGTTTTTTTCTAAGAAAGAAAAGCACATATGGATTCTTCAATTTGGAATGGCTTTAAAGGGCTTCTGATTTATGAATTAACCCCCTTCTTGCTAATAAAAGAACAATGATTTTTTTTTGGCCTCAAATGAGAGATAATTCTTCATACTATATGAAAAGGCAACTTCAGGCAATGAAATAAGTCCACGGTAAATTAGAATGCTCAATTAAAAAAACAACAAGTGGACCCACAATCACTACTTCTCAAGAAAATCATTTGGTAAGATTTTTTTAATGTCAAGTTTGCATAATGATCAGCTCAGCTTCAATATTTTAAATAGATCACTCAATTTGCTTTTATAAAAACCTCTACAAAAAGATGTTTTTAAATGCTTGTAAAAGTAAGCATTTATTCACTGATAAAATTCTAGTCATGGATAAAATTCTCTGAATATACAACTAACATTACACTTCTAAAATAAGAGGCAAGATGATTCTGAGTGTATAGTATCAGTGGTCCATTTTTAAATGCTTGTAAAAGTAAGCATTTATTCACTGATAAAATTCTAGTCATGGATAAAATTCTCTGAATATACAACTAACATTACACTTCTAAAATAAGAGGCAAGATGATTCTGAGTGTATAGTATCAGTGGTCCATTTTTACACCCAAGATCACTTTTTAAATGTCAGGGCAAGCCAGGACCTACCCCACCCCTTCCCCAAGACCCCACCCCTTTCTTGAGGGCCCCGACCTCTCCAAACCAGTTGCTAATGAAAATTCACCATTAATTACATAATTACACCCGAGCCATTTTGCTAGTGCTTCAGCTGGGGAGAACAGTTTAATTTAAATTATTGAACAGACTAAGCATTTTCATTTTCTCATGTTAGTTTATCAAACTTCATTTTAAATTGGACATACATTAATATTTTATGTAGGGTTGCCAGGTGTCCGGTATTGACCCAGACAGTCCGGTATTTTTGCCCCCGTCCGGTAAAATTCAGAAAAATACCGGACACCTGGCAACCCCAG